GGGGGCCTGAGGCGGGGCGCTGCGCGGCGGCCGTGATGGCGGAGCCCAGCTGAGGCGGCGGTGAGTGTCGGGGCTCGCCGTGGAGCCTCCCCGCCCTCCCCTCCTTCCCCTGCCCGGTTGTGACGGTAATGGCCGCGCCCGTCCCCCTGTGGGGGCTTCCCCGGGGCTCCGCGTTAAAGCTGGGAGGGGGAGGCGGTCCCTTTCTGGCGGGAATCTCCGGAGGAGTTGGCGGCCCGGTTGCCGCTCCGGCGCCGTCAGCGGGGTGGGAGCCCGCTGAGGGACCGAGCCCGGCCGGGCTCTGGGGCGTCCCTGCTCCAGGCCGGGCTGCCGGTCGCCCGCGGGCACCGAACGAGCTTGCCCTGGGGCGAGCCGGGCCGGGCGATGCGTCGGTCCGGTTTTATATTGACGCTGCGGTTTTGTTCTGCTCTGTGTGAGCCTGGGGATAAAAGCCCGGGGCTTTACCGGAGACACCTGTTGGTAAACAGAGGGAAGAGCGGTCCTCTTCCACCTGGGTGGAAGTTTTCTCTGTGGAAAGAAGGACTTACTCCCCTGGTATGTGCAAGAGGATGAAGGAGGGGTGACTGAAATAGACAGGGGCAAGGGAAGTTTTGTTTCTGTCAAGACGTTAAAGACACTGTTACTGTTTTTTGTTTGCTTACATTCATTTTTTAAAGGGAAGGGTAAAGTTCTGCAGGTACAACTTGACAGCGTAAGAATACGTTAGCTTCTAATTTTATTGTTGTCTCTTATTTCGGTCAATCTGTCAGAGTAGCTGCAGAAATCTGTTTGTTTGCTTCTGAAGAAGGGAGGGATGTCATGGATGCATATGGAACCAGTGCAGATATCAAGTAATCTGTTCTAAAAAAACTTTACTGTGTAATTTTTAAAAAAAGTCATGAGTGTTTTAAGCTAGAATTTACCCTTAATCTCTTCCGCTTCTTTCATTCCAAATTTTAAACTCCTGATTGAAGACAGTAATCTGGAGGAGGTCTGAAATAACTTAAATACACCAGATTTTGACAAAAAACCACCAACCCTATAAAAGAAGGACAAGAAGATTAGTGCCTCTGCTCAAGGAAGGACAGGGAAAATGTGGTTACTGTTCCACCTTGTCAGCCAGTCATCATGTGTTCCCAGCATTAACAAGGTGTCCTGGTTTCAGCTGCGATAGAGTTAATTTTCATCCTAGTAGCCAGTACAGTGTTGTGGTTTGGATTTAGTGTGAGAATAATGTTGGTAACACACTGATGTTTTAGTTGTTGCTAAGTAGCGCTTACCCTAAGTTAAGGATTTTTCAGTTTCCCACACTCTGCCAGCGAGGACGTGCACAAGAAGCTGGGAGGGTGCACGGCCGGGACAGCTGACCCGAACTAGCCAAAGGGATATTCCATACCATGGAACGGCATGCTTAGTATATAACTGGGGGAAGTTGGCCAGGAGGGGCTGATCGCTGCTCAGGCATTGGTCAGCAGCTGGTGAGCAATTACACTGTGCATCACTTGTCTTTTCTTGGGTCTAATTTCTCTCTCTTTGTTACATTCCTTTTCATTACAATTATTGTTATTATTATATTTTATTTTATTTCAATTATTAAACTGTTCTTAACCCACGAGTTTTACTTTTGCTGATTCTCCTCCCCATCCCACTGGGTGGGGGGGAGGAGTGAGCGAGTGGCTGTGGGGTGCTTAGTTGCCAGCTGGTGTTAAACCATGACATGAGGTCAAACTGAGCAAGAAACAGATTTCTGCAAAAGGAGGACGAATGCTTGTTGAACAATAACATGAACTCGTGTTTTCTGTCTGCTAGTTCTGCTTGTTCATGCTGTGTCTCTTTTTTTTTTTCCCCAGCATTATTATCCAGGAGGATTTAGACCTTCCTTAAAAAGGTAAGAAATTTATTTTGGCTGTATTCTTTCTTTTGTGGGCCACTGAAATAAACTAAAGCTTATTTGTTTTGCCAGCTGCACCATTATATTGGATATTTTTCTGGAAGAGAGAAAAAACAACAAATCAAAACCTTTTTTTCCTTCCCTGTATTGAGTTGATAACTTTACCTATTTGTACATGCTTTTGGTGTTATAAAGCAGCCTAAGGGATGTCATTTCCCTTCCAATGTTTTTTATTGCTAGATTTTTCACAGCTTTTTATGTTTGTTCCTCCTTTGCTGCATTTTTTAATAGATTCTGGGATTTTTGATCTCGAAGAATGCTAAGTGCTTAAATATCTTCATCAGATGCATCCTCTTTGTGACGTCATTATATTCCTTTTTAAGTTTAAATGCAGATGTGTAATGGTTCAGGTAATATGAAGTTTTATTTTGAAGTATATTTTGCAAGGTTGAAGGACCTCATACTGGGAAAATGCACAGCTGTTTAATTTCTTATGTTCTTGAATAATACAGTTGCCACATCTGAAAGTATTTTGTAGCCTGTATTTTCTGTTCCTGAAATCTGTTTTTAAAGAAATTAAAGCCTTGTTTGTTTTGATTCACTGTCAGTTAGGAAAGTGTTGTGTTTTCCCTGTAAACTCTGTGAAATGCCCTTGTGTGGTTTCCTTAGTAAACTGTTGAGACATGTCCAAACCCAAATTTCCAGTGGTAAATCAGACTTTATTCCGAATAAGAATTGCACACAGAACAGTATGAGGCATGCAATTAATGCAGTAGCTTTTTTTTTTATAGGTTCCTTTAGCAAATAGTTTGATTTTTTTACTTTCCTGACAATGGACCTGGATCTTGAGAGTCTGGGAGATACATATGCATATATATTTACTTTCTTGTGGAAAATATAATGAGATTTTAATGGTCTTCTAGTATATTATACGAGCCAGATAATAATCTAGCTATTTTCTATTAGCTAGGTACAGTTGCTTAACATCTTGTACCTGAGGACAGGAATTTTTATTTTGCTGTCCTGATGAATGAAATAATTCAAATGAAAGGCCTGTGGGATCAGGAATTCTAGGAATAGTTTGGTTTGTTTTCAAAAGGACTAGGAAGACATTGACATACTGTGCACCTGTTTTCAGCACACAGATAAAAGAGTCAGAACAGCCTCTGAAGGAGGCACTTGAATGCTGTATCTTTCATTCTTTGCCTGTGATGTGAGTGGAAGCATATCTGTCATATAATGTGAACTTGTTTCACTATGATGCCTGACGTGATTAAGAATACTTGTATCTTGGGTATGTCGTGTCAGAGCAGTGGCAGGGTTTTTGAATTAGAAAATGTCAAGGTACAGATTAATAAAAAAAAGCAAACAAAACCCCCAAAAACCCCAACTATATGGTTTGTGGCTTTCTCCTTGCTTGTGTTTGAGATCGTAGGGGAAGAGGGCATCAGGAAGTATCTCTGGATAGTTGATTGTTTTAATGTGCTCAGTATCCCTCATATGTATGATATATTGCAGGTGTGTGTAGAACTATATCTGTCTTTTCTTTATGAGGATATATGCAGTAGATACTAGGTCTTGGTTTTGTACTCAAATGCTTGCTAATACCAGTCTTCTCTAATGCTTCTTGAAGATGCCTGCTGCCTGTGACTCAGTGCTTGAAGATATTGAAGATATTGTGTCAGCAGAAGATTTGAAACCACGTGATCGGCAGTTTGTAAGAAAGAATGTTTTTCCCAAAGTGCGAAAACGCCATTCACAAAAGAATATTCAGACAGATGATGATCCCCCAAGTGACAGGTAAATTCTTCCATCAACCCTATCTTGTTGCTTTTCTCATATCTTGTGCGCACTGTCAGCTTCTAAAAATAAGGTGGAAGTTCTCATGATCTCATAATATAAAATCTGAATACAAAGTAAAAATGAGTAAAATAGTATTTAGAAAATGTAGTGATAATAAATCCTAAGCAAATGTCTTGTCCCAGGCAAACTTTCTGTAGAAATCAGTTATGACTGGGGTACTGATTAATGGAGTAATGAGACTGGAAAAATGGTTCTTATTACTTAAGCTTTTATGTGTAAAACATTTCTGAAAAAATTGTCTGCTTCACCTTATTTACCTAAATAGAAGCTGAGCTCTTCAAAATGCATTCCTGGAGTAGCCTTTTGACATCTGAAATGAGAAATATAAACAAAATTCTGAGAGTCACAGAAGGGTTGAGGTTGGCAGGGACCTGTGGAGGTTATCTTGTCCAAACCCCCTGCTCAAGCAGGGCTACCTAGAGCCAGCTGGCCAGGACTGTGCCTAGATAGTTTCTGAATATCTCTAAAGAGGGAGATTCCACAACCTCTCTGGGCAAGCTGTGCCAGTGCTCGGTCACCCTCACAGTGAAAAAGTGTTTCCTGATGTTCAGAGGGAACCTCCTGTGTTACAGTGTGTGCTTGTTGCCTCTGGTCCTGTCACTGGGCACCACTGAAAAGAGCCTGGCTCCGTCCTCTTTGCACCCTGCCTTCAGGTATTTATATACATTGATGAGATCCCCCTCTGGCACCTTCTCTTCTCCAGGCTGAACAGCCCCCACTCTCTCAGCCTCTCCACTTATGAGAGATGCTCCAGTCCTTTAATCATCTTCATGGCCCTTTGTTGGACTGTCTCCATTATGTCCATATCTCTCCTGTGGGTACATCCCATCAGGGCCCAGGGACTTAGCTATGTCCAGTTTGCTGAAGTATTCCCTGACCTGATCCTCTTCCACCAAGGGTACACCTTCTGTCCTTCAGCGTTTCCACCTTGTTTCTGGAACCTGGGATTTCCAAAGACTGTAGTTTTTATGTTTACATCCTGCCAGTGATATAGGGAAACTTCTTTTGAACTTACTGTTTTATTTCAGTGGAAATAGTATGCAGTAACTACGGAACGTACCTTTGCATTTTTCCTTCTTGTGACTCCCATAAGAACAAAATCAACTTTCTGCTGCAGTGGAATTGATTAAAGTGTAGGTGAACTCAATTATTGATTCTAGTTTCTACTGCAGTTCAGACATCTGGATTTTGTTCCCCCCCCACCTCCCCAATTAAGTTCAAGCTGGTGGATAAAATTTCCCCTCATTATAAAGACAAAAATAAAGTATGTCTGGAATGCACAGGAAATTCAGTTTTGGTTTTTCATTAGTGTTCAGAACAGATTTTATAAGCATAACAATGCACCTTTATGTGAAGCCCCATAAAGGTGCATTGACCCCATTCTGCTGGGAGTGTATGTACAGCTGAACTGGTGGTCTATAGATATTTCACGCTAGCACTCCATTCTCCTAACTATTTGGGTGTTACGAATTATCTAACAGGCTGTATTTTAGTGTTTTTGACCCAAGAAAGCACATTCAATGTATGTTGTTTAGACTTCAGGAAGTCAAAATACATTGTACCTGTGTGACATGTTACGCATGTCTACTTAATGATTATTAATCTTCCATTAACAATTTTCTCATTCTAGCTAGGGGAAGTATCTTTAAAAAAAGAAGCACAGGGGGAGGAAAAAAAAACAGATGTGGGCAGGGCAGAGGATTGTATTCCAGGAAGTATGTTATTGTTCTACTGGCATCTTTAGCTCATTAGCACAGTTATCCCAGGAGTTTCAATGAGAGCTTCTTGCAGAACTTTTTGTTGCTTCCTAAACCATTGTTTGTGTTAGCTCATGGGTACATCTGCCATGCTGCTTCTGTAGCCCAGAAAGGTTGGGATATGAGCTTTCAGATGTTAGCGTGGCTGGTGGCATGGTTAAGTTAAGAATTTATAAAGATGGCTTGTGTGGAGGGAACTACAATCAATGGGTGCCATAATGTCAAAAGGTTGCAGTTTAGCTGTAACGGTTTGTTTGCTGGTGGCCTAATTTCAGTGCAGTCAGTTGAAGCTCACTTGTTAAATGATATGGTAATTTTCAGAAAGTTAGTTGCTTTGTTTGTGTTTTTTTTTAACATAACTGCAGTGTACTGAATCTCTTCTTATCCTACAGCTCTTGTACTTTCTCCATTCTAAAACTCTTTTCTTGCCACTTGTTGGCCAGGGTCAACCCACCACAACTGGGCAGCCGCCCAGCCACTTGCTCACCCCTCCTCCCAGTAGGTTTGAAGAGAGAACTGGAAGAGCAAAAGCGAGAAAACTTGTGGGTTGAGATGAAGGCAGTTGAAGGGAAGGGAAGAGGAGGGGAAAAACCCCAAGTGATGCAAAAGCAATTGCTCACCACCTCCCACAAGCAGGCTGGTGCCCAAGCAGTCTCAGAACGATGGCTAGTTTGGAAAGACCAAACCCCCAGTTTTTATTGCTGAGCACGATGTCATCTGGTATGGATTACCCTTTTGGCCAATTTGGGTTAGCTATTCTGTCCATGTTCCCTCCCAACCTGCTGTCCATCTCCAGACTGCTTGTGGTGGGGTGGATCGCGGTGGGGAAACAGAAGGTTTTGATGCTGTGCAAGCACTGTTCAACAATAGTTAAAACACAGGTGTGTTATCAACACTGTTTTAGTCACAAATACAAACCATAGCACCATATGGGTTGCTGTGGAGAAAGTTAACTCTGTCCCAGCCAGACCTAATACCCACTACACTAAAATTACATAATTATGATGTTTTTTCCCCAGCTGTTTTGGAGTTGTTACTGTTTGTGTTGCTTATTTTATATTTGGAGAATTACAATTAATTGAGTCTGTTTAGTGGGCTTAAAGGGGAGCTTGTTCATCTTTTAACTTGCCTTTTTCCTTCCTTTTTACTTAACAGCATTATTCCTGGTGCTCAGAAAATCTGGATTCGTACATGGGGATGTTCTCACAATAATTCGGATGGTGAATATATGGCTGGACAGCTGGCTGCATATGGATACAAAATTACAGGTAACAATATCAGACAAGTTGCATAATTCAGGTTTTTGGGGGTGAATGTTCAGAGCGGTCAAGCTGTAATCAAATGTTTTTAGTCTTAACTGCACTTTTTAAAATCCTGCTTTAATCTCCTTCTGAATTGAGGGTGAGGAGGTAAAGTGTTTTCCTGGCATTAAGCAGAATGATTACAAGATGAGTGCTTTCAGAATGGTTAGGTTTTCCTGACAGGGTAGCCATCTAGTAAATGTCATACAGTGCCTTTTGTGGGCGTTTTGCTTGCTAAACTTAATTGAAAAGTTTTCATAAGAGTGGAAGGGAAAGATACTAATTTTGGGGCAGAATCTAGCTGGTTGTCTGGTTGTAGTTGGTGGAACCCATGTGAGAGAGAGAGAGGAGGGAAGTGCTATGTGTGTGTTTGCTGCTGGAGCAGAGGTAAACTAATCTGTGTGAATGATCCTTTGTTTCAGGAGGGATGAACAGTATGATGGAGGTGGGATGATATAGGATTGTATCTTGTACATTCAAAAGAGCTGAAAATACTATTTCTCCTTTTCTTCCAAATACTTTAAACCACTCCCTGTCATCTTGTTCTGCCTCCCCAACCCTAAAAAAAATATGCAAATTTATGGTTGTGCTAGCCACATTTCATCTCCTTAATGCAAAATGTGTTGAAAGAAAAGCTGTAGAAAGCTGAGAACATGGATGCCATGTTTCATTGGAGAATTATTATCGGAATACTTTTGTGTAGCTTATGACTAGTCAAAAATTTAGATTTTATTAATTCAAGTTGTGGTTTGTCTTGCGTTTAAGCTTGTGTCCTGCTTGTACTGAAAGACTGCAAAGTTGTCTTTCCTGACATTTTGCTAGAAGTATTTTATTCCTGATTTCACAAAATGCTTGGGTTTTTTCTTGAACATCTGGTGATATCGTTAAGCAGTTACATCTCATTTTCCTTTTTTGCAGTTGGTGTTTCTGTATTTATCTAAGTAGAAACTGGATACTGAATCATTCAAGTGCTGAACTATTTTAGGGAACCCAGGTGATTCTTTAATTGGTAGTGCAGCTCTGGAGTAGGCATGCTTTTTTCCACAGACAAGTGGAATGCTGGTCCAAAAAGCCTTATTTGTGACAGCTGTTTATATAAGACTAGAAATGAGTTCTCAGTTTTGCCTTGTTATGGCTTTCTTAAGTTTAACTTCCCTTTACCTTAATTTCTCTAATGCAGTGTTCCAGAAGCGACTTCTGGCTTGTCAAGATTCCTGTGGCTGTCCTGTCTTTTTGGAATTTTATTGGGAGAATTGTGGGAAATATGCAGTGGAGCAAAAAAAGGAACTACCTAAAATTTGATACCTTCTCTTTTTAGAAAATTAAGTGTTCATAACTTTAGAATAGAAATGAAGTCTACAGCTAGAATCTGAAACTGAGAACTAAAAACTGAATAAAAGTTGCAGTAGCTGGGACAGGAATACCTACAGAGTAATTTTGGTAATTGTGTATGAAATTGACTGCTAGTTTCTGGTAATTATTAAATCCATTTCTTGATTTAGTTTATTTGTGTGTATGTATATACATATATAATATCAAACAAACAAACAAAAAAACCCCAGTGCTGAGGTGGTAGGCAGAAATTATCCAGTGTGGTTTCTTCTTTGTGAAATTAAGTAACTTCTTTTTAAGCTGATATATTTAAGGGCCTCTGGAAATCTCATTTTTGTTCAACAGAACAAAAATATTGGCTATAAATTCTGGCTAAATTAAATTTTTACAAATTCATCTATTGAATGTTCTCCTTTACAGGCTGTTAATGAAGCTGGAGCTGACTGCAAGTATTGCAAGTATGGTAGCTGTATGTGAGAATATGAGGTGGTGAAGAGGGCAACTGCCTTTCTGCTCAATATAGTGATGCTTCTGGCCAAAAGTGCATAGGAAAGTGCTCTACTGCTGCTTGGATCGCTGCTAATGTCTCTCAGGGTTTCACACTGGGACTGATCTATTTAATGTCTTTAATGGACTTGGAAGACAGGGTGTAATGTACCTTCAGCAAGTTTGTAGACTATGCCAAACTGGGGGAAGTGGTTGATAGGCTGGAAACCAGTGCTGTGATTCAGAGGGACCTTAATAAACTAGAAAAAGGGCTAACGGAAACCATGTGACATTTAGCAAAGGCAAATGCAGAATCCTAGGGTTGGCATAACCCCAGCTAGTGGTAAAGGTGGGGGTGGACAGGCTGACTAGAAAGCAGCTTTGCAGACAAATATTTTGGGATTGAGATAGACAAGAATTGAATATGAGTCAGCAATGTACTCTTGTAGCAAAAAAAAGGCAAACTGCATCCTGGGCTGTTAGCAAGAATGTAGCTAGCAGGTCTGCGAAAGTGATTCTTCAGCTCTGTGTGGTAGTTGTGAGACAGCGTTTGGAGTGCTGTGTCGACTGATCCAGCTGGGGCCCAGTTTTGGGCTCCCCAGGAAAAGAGGGAGGTTGATGTAGCGGAGTGAGTCCAGTGGAGGACCACCAAGATGGTTTGGGAGCACATGGTGCATGAGGAGAGTCTGGGAAGACTGGGTTTCTTCAGCCTTGAGAAGAGAAGGCTCATGGAAGATCCTAGTTGCAGACAGCAATACCCAGTAGGAGGGTACAGAGAAATTGGAGTCAAATTGCTTGTCGAAGGTGTGCAGTGAGACAAAAGACAACAGAGTCTTGCTCTTGAAAAAGTGGCAGCTAAGATTTTTAGCATCTGGTGCATAACTTAGTGCTCATGCTGTCCATCTTTCCATAGAGGAAATGCCAATATAGAAAGTTTCCCAACATTTCTCGAGTGTCTTTCATCAATCCCTTTTAAAGAAAGCATGTGAGGTTTTTTTCTTATAGTAACTCATCTGGGAAGTTCAAATAGAATGTCAAGAAGGGATTTAATCTCTTTTTTTCCTATACCGTGAAGTAGTTACTCAGTAATAGTAAGTATTGCTTAACACAATCCAAATTTCAAACACTTCTTGAAATTAAACTTAATATTGTTTACACTATGCAAAAAATAACAAAAAAATGTTTCGCAAGACCTATTTTCTAAATCAATGCCTCTCTCTGTTGCTAGAACTTGTTACCTTAATGTAAAACTGTTATAAACTTCAGGAAAAGATAGAAGTATTCACTAAAGTGAAAGATTATCTGTTGTCACAGTGCCTTGGACAGCTATTGCTTAAGTGTTTTGATTAGCTTGTTTCCTATGTATTCCTAAGCTTTTAACTCAACAACACTTATTGAAGGATGCTGGAATAAAGTTCTGGTTCTAGAAGATAAAATGTGAGCTTTACTTGCAGTTATTGCTCTATCGTAAGGGAAATGGTCAAGCACTGTTTCTAGTGTTTTCTATCTAACTGCAAGATTGAAAAAAAACCAACCAGAAGGAAGAAAAGCAGCATCAGGCAGGCTTTTATTGCTGACTAGAAGCTGTAACAATGCAACCTGCCTTTTAAGTTGACTTAGCTGAAACTTAACATTGATATAATGAATGTCTTCTAATTATTGAAATAAATTTTTATGACTTGTTGCAAAAATCCTAATACTATTCCTTATCCCCGTTTATTGCATGGATTCTATCCTGTTCTTTATTTGAACTCTCTTCAGGAGATGCAGAAATCTTTTTTTTTTCTTTTTTTTTTTTTTTCCGTGTCTTCCATCTGTTTAAAAAAATGTTCTTTCTGCGCAAGCACCCTTTGCTTTCAGGAATGGCTATATCCAAAGGTGAAAATGGAGGGCTGTGCTACAGTTCTTTAGAGCAAAGACTACCTCTGTCTGGGGAGAGAGCACAGTGTGAATCGGCAATACACAGATATTGCAATAACAGCAATGCTGAATAAATATCAGGAACTGCATCAGCTTAAAAAAAGGCAAAGGGAAACCAACAGAAGAGATGAACCTGTTTTTTTATCTGCTTTTACAATGTGAAGGTAGGCGGTATTCTGAACTGATCTTGCATACCATCCTATGGGAACACAAAGCTCCTTTGGTAGTCTGAGCCACACAGAAATGTGTGGACCAGCTGCTATCAGTTTAGGGCTGTACCGTGGTACTTGTTCACGTTCTGAAAACGGTATAGCTGATGGTGGCTTTACTGGTTCTGAAGCTGGTTTTCCTTTCTTGAGAGCATGACTCGCTGTATAGTTTAAATATGCCTGCAGATCTACTAGAGTGCTCCCTTTGAGATGTACCCTGGAGGAAGAAACTCTCATGGTACAGACAAGTAATGCCTACTGTGAAAAAGAGGATGTGGGTGAGCTGGGAGCTCTCAAATACTGGGAGCCAGATGTTTGTTTGGGAAGGAAATTCAGTATGTGTGCCACTTAACAGTACTTTCTCTCTGAAAAATAGGACTGAACATGTATAGTCAGACAGAAGGAGTTGCCTTCTGAAGTGGGTAGTCGTATTAGCATTTGTGGCATCTATAGGTTTCTGGTTCTGTGGAATGAATGGGTTTTGGCCCAGCCTTCTTGAATGCGTTTTGATGGATCAAGCAATTAGGTATGCTTGTTATTTTGTGATAAGTGCTTTTGGCTTGAGGATATTTAGGTCCAAAGCATTCTCTTCTCAGTCGTTGTAAAACATGTTGGGAGGGGGAAAGACATTACTAATGACTTAAAAATACCAGAAGAATGAACAGCAACTTTTTCTTTTATGAAGAGGAAGCAAAAACTGTTATTAAATGTTCAGCAAAGCTAAACCAGTAACAGCTTATCAGCACTATGCTTTTTTTTTAAATTTAGAAATAAATGCTAGCATGGAACTCTTTCCTCCTGTAGCTTGGGATTCCAGAAGCAAAAAGGGGCGAAATTGTTTTGTTGCTAATTCAGTGGGCTTGGCTTTGATTTAGCACATAGAAACTAGGTTATATTATAGACCCTTAGGTTTACTTGTGCAATTTTAGAGTAGTCTTTGTTCAGGTGTCCTTTTTACTGCCTCGTGCAATTTTTCAGCAAGTTTGTTGGGTGGAAAGATGCTGTATTTTTCCTGGGTTC